CTTCATTGAATTTATGTAACATTAACAGTGGTCTTATTTACTTAACTTTATCATATATAGCTAAATCGAAGTTATCTGTATATAATACTGTGATCAAATTGAAAGGTGAATTTTTAATTTATACTTCGCGTGTTTTTCGAATGGGTAATTTATTTTTTGGTAGTACTGTTAGTGACATCTATGCTAAATTTCATGTCGAAATATTCATTAGTAGTTGAGATACGCGTCTTTTTGTGAGGCTCTAAAAGTGAATTCTTCGATTTTTACAATATCTGAATTTTTTGAAGAAAGAGGTGCGATAATACACCATCTCATACTGCATTGGTTATTCGTGAACATTTCGCTACATTTTCGAACTATTATGTGTCGCAACCACCGCATTCGCCTGATTTACCTTCGTGTAACCTCTGGCTATTCAGCAAATTCACATGATTACTCCGAAGACACCGTTTTGACTGAATTGAGGATATAAAAGCTGAGTCGAAGAAGGCTCTGATGTCCATCACGAGGTAGAATTTTTGCAAGTGGGAGAGGAAATGGACAAAATTCACCAAAAGCTGCATGCTTCTTTTCTCCATGGCTAATAATACTGATTCTATTTATAATTGTTTTGTGAGATTTCAATTTACCGTATGTATCATGGAAATCTATTGAGAATTACATCATTCCTCTTATGTTTTAAAGTGTTTATGTATGAAATGTTGGAGTTGGGTCTTAAACAAATTAAGAGGTTAGGTGGGTTTGAAAATTTCAAAAAATCGATTTTTTGTTATTGGTCTTATTAAACTCCTGTATTGTCCTTTTCAAATTGATACAAATAAATAAAAATACAAATTGATAAAAAATTTCGGAGATACAGCCTTGATAACTTGTGCGCTAAGCTAAGTCCCCCATCTTTAAACGCGTTTTTCTCTAAACTGTGTTTTTGAAATCGGTGGACACGACTTCTCGAAAACTTATGAACCGATTTAGTTCGAATTGTATACACATCTTTAAAATCACATTATCTAGTTATTAAACAAAGGACTTTTTTGTGTCATTACAACTAATTTTTTTTTTACAAAAATTGGTGTTTTTTGTTCAAATTCTTAGAAAAAATTAAAATTTTATTTTTTTAATTCAGTTGTATACCCCACAAAACCAAACTCTATAAGTCACTCATAATTCCCGTCCTGCTATATGGTGCAGAGGCTTGTACGATGTCAACAACGGATGAGTCGACATTGCGAATTTTCGAGAAAAAAGTTCTGCGAAAGATTTATGGTCCTTTGCGCGTTGGCCACGGCGAATATCGCATTCGATAGAACGATGATCTGTACGAGATATACGACGACATTGACATAGTTCAGCGAATTAAAAGACAGCGGCTACGCTGGCTAAGTCATGTTGTCCGGATGGACGAAACACTCCAGCTCTGAAAGTATTCGACGCAGTACCCGCCGGAGGAAGCAGAGGAAGAGGAAGACCTCCACTCCGTTAGAAGGACCAAGGAGCTGTCTTCACTTGGAATATCTAATTGGCGCCACGTAGCGAAAAGAAGAAACGACTGGCGCGCGGTTGTTAACTCGGCTATAATCGCGTCAGCGGTGACTCCGCCGATAAAGAAGAAGAAGAAAGCATAAATAATAGGTTGTCAAAGAAGTCTTGCGGTATTTTTTATTGAATTTCCAATTGGTCATACAATTTTTTATGATACTATGATGGTCTCTTTCGACCTATTCAGCGATTTCATCACAATTTTCGACGACAGGCCTGGCGCATCTTCGACCACCTCTACGCCAGAACGAAAACGTTGAAACCATCGTTGTGGGGGTGGAAATGGAAACAAATTTTATTGGCGGCTTGAGATGCATTTTTGCCTTTATCGTAGTAGTACTGTAATTTTCTCTTTATTTTGCTCCGTGTTTGCGACGCTATAACTCACGAACGACTTAAAAGAAACGACAATCAATCAAACACGTGTTAGCGCGTGACATAAGCTTTCCAAAAGGATATAGCATGACCCGATGCGACGAATAAAACTAGAACTACGCGCTCTCAGCGCCAATATGAAAGTATGTAAGTAAGTAAATTACAAAACATAAATATTTAATAATCAATTTTTTGAATTGGAAAAAAGCATTAAATTTGCATACAGAAATGGCTTCAGAAAATACCTTAAATTCGGCCGATAAAAAATAATTCCGTCAAAGAGCTTTGAAATGCAAGCGAGGGTGGAAAGGTATTTGCATATAAAAGTGTGAAGCCATTAGCATTTGGCGTTCTGTTATTTGGTCGCTGATTCAATTGTTGCACGGTGAAACAGTAACCAAAGATTGGTGATTAAATATCGACTTTTGAAAAATTAAGTTTAGGTTAATTTATTTGTATTGTTTTATATATGAGTACAGTAGAGGTAGTTGTCATTTGACTTAATATTAAATAAGTGTCTTCTTTTTTCTAAATATGCCAAAATGGAACACTTATATTACAATATTTCGACAGAAGTAGTATATTTACTCCAACTCAAGTTCTCTGAGTACATTTGTAACTTGAAACGGAAGTATCCACTTAAAGTATCACTTATATCAGTATCAAAAGCAATAAACCCTGAGTATCAAGGCAAGGATTTGAAAGAGCTACAGTTTCATACAAATTATTTACCGTATAGTCAGTCGAATCATTAAGAATGATAAACGAATGGAATTATCAAACTTCCACCACATTAGGGAACAAAGCATATCTTCTTTCCTTCATGATATCACGAAAATATGTATTTTTTGTCAAACACACTATAAATAAAGGCTAAGTTCGGGTGTGACCAAATATTTCATACTCACTTAGTTTTATAAAAACAGTTTACTTCCCGTCAGCGAAAATTATATTAAAAACATTATATTAAATGAGAACTATGTGATATAAACTCAACCGAAAAGGATTGATTTCACATATTGAGTTGACGTCAAACAGAGAATCGGAATTCATTACATTACTGATAAGGGGGTTAGGCCCAGGTCTAGACAACTCTATTCTTATTCAGTGCTAAACTTTTACTGTAGTTTTATAATTAGATTCTCTCCCTAATTTTCATAATCTATGTATGTCACAAATTGATAGATATTTTCATAATTCATAGTTTGGTCGGACCCGATTTGATAAATAAATAAAAGAAACGTGATTGGTGGAACATCTTAGATATACATATATATCTATTGGTGCTTGATTTGTAACTATAAAATAAAAGAATCGAATGGAATTTAAAATTTTAAATTGTGTTATATAGGAAGTAGGCGCGGTTGCGACCCGATTTCTTTAGATTTTGCTCAGTGACATAACACTTTCAGAATAATGTTATGTTTAACCCTTTTTCACATCGGCGGTAGGGATGCTGAAAGCGTTTGTCCTTTGCAAATTTTTTTAATATAGATTTAGCGGTTTACGAGATATGTACGCGCCACGACCACTTTCCAAAATTTTGAAACGGCAAATGTCTTTCCCTAATTCAATTCCTTATAACAAATAACAGTTTTGCATTTTACTTTGTAACTTATTTATAAGACTTAAAAATTTTTTGATTAATGCCGTTTTATGGGCGTTTCAATATTCCGATTGCGTCCATCTGCAATACCATCCCTCTTTGGATGCATATGTACAAGTATATCAAGATATCTCAATTTTTACTCGTGTTATCGGATAGACGGATGGACGGACAGGCAGTCACTCGGATTTCAACTTGTTTCATCATCATCCTGATCTTTGACACACCTGTGTATAACCTTTTCTATCTCTATTAATTTTAGGTGGTACAAACAATCGATAGGTGAACAAAGCTACTATACTCGGTAGCAACATGTTGCTATAGTGTAAAGAGTAACTAGAACAAACTCTTTCCGACTCGAAAACAGATCATGTAGTCAGAATTCCATTTCATTTACTGTACTACTAAGCTTTTTCGTTCCACATATATTAGTTATTGTTATATTAATATCTCAACAATCTATAATTTAGTTATAATAAAGCAATTCGAAATTCTATGGACAAATTCTCAGTTTTGTTGAGGTTATTGAGTAAAAACTAAATTAACTAAGAAAAATAACACAACCCATCTTTAGAGTCGCTTTTGAGAATTTGACGTTTTAAGTATCTTACTTAGCCATTCCAACAGGCCCCTATAGCCAGTCAACACAGAAAAGCTTTTTTGTATTTTTTCTATCTCATTCCCTACGAGACAATGATTTTAATGTATTATTTCTTTCATGCTGTTATCAATTTGCTATTAAGACTCAATACCCAATCTATCTTAGATCGTTTAGAACGAAACATATATTATAATATCATTATTTGTTCTGAAGAGTTCATAACAGCTTTTTTTAGGCTTATACTCGTATATCAACCTTTCCTATTTGGATAAAATAGCTAAGAGTACTTCGTTACTTTACAAACGACTAATTTTCTTAGCGTGTATCCTTTTGCCTCTCGTTTACAGAAATTGAATTTTTATATAAGAACCACACCAATTGATCCCACTGTGGCTGCTTCGTTGATGATTGTCTGCTTGGTTTTGTGACTTGTTTCCTGCCCAAAAACACCCGGGGCTTTTGCAAAAAAATTCTTCACTAATCGTCTGCAGCATCAAATGCACAACTGCATCAAAAACATTAAAAAAGAAAGAAAAAACAACAAAGTGTGCACTTAATAATAAGGACGCTGTTAAGTCAATTTGTTGCAATGGTGGATAACACCTTTACAAGCCGACCAGGAGCGAACAGGGAGTGCATTGATGTTGATGGCTCGACTGTCAAAATTGCATGAATATTCAAAGTGTAGCTCACTGCAATGATGCTCAAAATGCAATACTGTGGCCTTTGATAAGCAAATGAGAATGCAACGGAATGTATACGGCTGAAAGGATTTCCAATTTATGCACAAACGCAATGTTTTGGTGCGGATTTATTGTTGCAACTGAGCGCGTTGAATAACTAACTCAATGAATATTGAGATGAATGTGCTAAAGAAGAATGTGTGTGTTGCTGCTGAAAGCCTTTAAAAATGATTGCAATGGATAAAAATGGTTTCCATTGCACTTTTAATTGCTTCCAATAACTTTATTCATATATTTTCAATAAAAGAAAATTTGCTGTAAAATAAAAAAGGCATTTCGTTTAATCATTTTACTCTTCATCGCGTGGATTAGGGTAGTATTTGTGAAGGAAGTGTTTCCCAAAGAAGCGTGTATCACCATTGGCCACGCGTTCACGCAATTTGTTGCACTTTGGTGAGTCGACACGTAAATCTGCCGGGCAACCATTCCAAAACTGACGCCACATACAACTATGGAAAGCCAAAGGCGAACGACTACAACCCTCCTCCTTCAATTCACCCGCCTTTTGTTTTCGTTCACGCTTCTCCTTCACCTCAGCCAAGCAGGTGTCCACATAGTCTTCAATCGCATCGACCTTCCATTGTACCGTACCAATTTGTGCTCGCAACCCCTCTAAAATAGCCTCACGTTGTAGCTCGCCATGCTCATCGAGACTTTTAAAACTTTTCGCTACGCATTCGGTTATACAAATCATTTTTTCTTTAACTTGTTGCATCTTTTCACAATCGAAGGGATCTACTGCGTCATCAGCTGTGGCGAGAATAGGAAACAAAGTCACGAGTTTATATGTTATTTTGAGATATAGTAATAGAACTAGAGAAAAACACTGAATTTAACCAAAAATTCTCACCAGGTTCGCCTTTCAAATCGGCAATGCATTGTTTCTTCACGCTCTTAAAGAGTTCCAACTGATCACCGTTCACATTACCTCCCTTACAACACTGCATATCCTTTTTCCAATTACGCTTAGAACACTCGTTGGCATCTGTGGCCTCACGACGTGTTCTATGTGAGACTTCGTCTTCTTCATAATGAGATAGCAGCTCCTTGAAGAGATATTCATCTAAGGTGTCAACAAAAGCGATAACATTAGTTCCCAATGAAATAATTATACAAATACGAGTAAGCACTTCTCTTTTAACTCGCGGCAATCACAAATCGTTACTGTCAATACTTTCGCATTCCCAAAGCTTTTATATCAAATCCATACACACATACCCTCATTAAAGTGAGTTTAAAGAATTAATCTGTAACAGAATTGAGAAAAAGAACATGGAGATGTAATCGCTGGAGATGTATGTTATACAAGCACTGGTTTGTTATTCGTTTGCAAAGGGGCATTACACTTATTACACTATCCTACAAAGCCAGCCAAATGATAGTTTTGAGAAACGCTGCCGGGATGGCAGACTATCGCCGGACCAGTCTTTATAATAGAAATGGAGGCTACTATATCTTATTATCTCTTATGTATTTTCTTTTCGTCGTTTAAGAACATCTACGAAGCAACGAAATACAAACGATAAATTAGTTTTTCTAAACAGTGTCGGCCTATTTTTTTAATTTGGATTAAAACAATCTGTAACTGTAACTTCCTATATGTTAGTCGATCTGTCTAGCGGACGTGTAACTCAAATGATTCGTTAAGAAAATTATGGACTTACCAGATTTAGAAATACTTATCGAGCATACAGTTTATGCGGCATTCCTGCCTCATGAACGATCATGACCTGAAGGGTAGTGTCGAAATCCACTTCTTAATAATTGATAACTATTTTCATTTATATTTCTTATTTAGAATTTGAATTGAAATGAAATTAAAAAGTTATCTCCTCTGCTCTCTTGTCAACATATAAAACAACAACAAAATAATACTGTTGAAATCAAAGCAAACAAGAATGTGCGGGCATCTCGTTAAGTTTATTTTATTTGCACGAGTTTTTTGTACGTTTCTTCTACTTTTCTCTCCGGACAGTGTAAAAAATGTACAAATGTTTGCGATGTCTTTGGAACAATGGGCACTGTTTAATAATTTGATAACTATTTTTTCTACTTGGAATTTATTAAGGAACTTAAAATTATAAGAACAGCAACAAAATAATACCGTTGACATCAAAGGTTTAAAACTTGTTTAGAAAAATTTTGTTCCACAATTTCAGATTTTCCCTTCGCTTTGAGTTACCGACTGAGTGACCAGTTCAATATAGTATATACAAATGAACTTGTTCGCGGTATTTTCCCTTGTTTAAATTTAATAATGAGTGTAGGTATGTATATATTTATGTATGCACTCAATGTATATATGTACATACGTAGCGATAAAGTATAAATGATAATAGTTAGATTATGTTAGGTCATAAGAAACCGATAAGTTTATTGCAAGGAATAAAGGAAGGCGCACTACTTGTATTAATGACCCAATATTATATGAGACTGCTTGACTTCGTCAAAAATGAATATCACAAAAACTTTCATACAAGTACATATATAAGAACATCCGCTTAACATCTTAATACCCTTTTTATTATTTCAAAGTTCGGATATTTTGATTTTCAAAAATTTGTTATTTTATTCGTACGAGATCTTTGAAATCACTATCAGAATAGGTTATAGAGTAAATCATCTGGTAACAACTTTGCTACTTGCCTTCTTAATTTTTATGCCGATTATTACAGACATTATATTATTATTCTTGCAAATACTATCATAACTTTTAAAATATTAGAACGAAGAAGAATAAAATAGGCCACTATTAATAGTATAAATTCATGGTACAGTGACCCGGACACCCATCTTCGAAGATTTTTTGTATCAAGAACTTGGGTTCAAAATGTATTTTAGGGTCACAAAAACGAACAGAAATCGTAATCGAAGTAGAGGTGATTTTTCAATAGTTTTTTGTTTTACAGATCACGCATGAGTCGTGTAAAGCTGTCATGTTATTTTTATTCAGTATTGTTTAGGCATTTCATCATCGAAGTACTAGCGACTTGGAGCATTTGTCGAGACCTTAACTTGAAAGTGTATAAAATACAGCTTGTTCAAGAACCGAGGCCGCTGGATCTTCCCAAGCGACATCACTTCGCTCTATAAGCTCTTAAAAATTTCCAAAAAGATCCGACGTTTTCTAGCCAAATTTTGCTCAAAAATGACGCCATTTCATCCAGGAATGCTGTGGTTTGTGGGCCGGTGGAATTATCGGTCCATATTTCTTCAAAAAAGATGCCGGTGAGAAAGTAACCGTCAACGTTGATAACACACTACTTGATGCCCAAAATGGAAACACGTAATCTCGACGACATTTATTTTCAACAATACTCTGCCACTTCTCACGCATCTCATAAACCAATGGATTTATTTAGAAAATACTTCGGTGAGCGTTTTGGGTCACTCGATTGGCCACTACAATCGTATGATATCGTACTGTTAAACTTTTTGGTGTGGAGATATGTAAAGTTTAAAGTCCTTGCCGACTATCCCGCTACAGCACGAAATTTAAATTTGATATAAAAATTATATACATATACAGGGTGGCTGGTGAAAGCCGCTACAAAAAAAATAAATAATTTTTTTTCTATTTAATGAATCTGGTTAATTTTTTTTTTTTTTTTGCAGATTGACTTTTACATTTAACAAAAATGGATAACTGGGACACTGAAACAAGAATTTGGATTATCCGCCGCTATCACGCACTGTAGTCCGTCGTTTCGCTTCAAAGAGAGTATAGGCGCACGTTTGGCGGCAATCCTCCGAGCAGATGGACCATAATGAGACTTGTAAACAATGGGACAGTCAACAGAAGACCTTACCATCGAAACCCTTCAGTTCGAACGGAGGAAACAATCGCTGCTGCCATACAAAACAGTCCACGTGTTTCGACAAGAAGCTTATCTGCTCAAATGGGTGTAAGCCCTACTTCTTCGAAGAAAACGGTCACACCGTTACGGTTACTGGAGACCGTTACTTGAGCATGTTGTGAGAGTTTTTCTAACCTGTTATGACAGAATTGCGACGAAAATTTCCCAATAAGCTGATATCCAGAAACTCTACATTCCTTTTTCCACCCAGGTCGCCTGACCTTACTGCACCTGACTTTACCTTGTGGGGTTATTGCAAACAGGAAGTCTACAAAGCAAAACCAACAAATTTGAGTGAACTAAGGCAATCCATTCGAGAAACAATTGCCGCTATTCCTGCCTCAACTCTCCAAGCAGTAATGAACACATTTTTGGTAAGATGCCGCACATGCATCAACGAGCAGGGGGGGCATTTAAATTCCATTATTTTTAAAACTAATTAAGCTATATTTAATAAAATTGAATGAGCTTTAACATGAATAAAAGAAAAATGAATTCCATACACTGAAAAAAAAATTTTTTTGAGCAAAATTCATCAGCCACCCTGTAAATAACTACATGTATTAGATTGCTCCCAAACGCGTTCCATCGCCTCTAAACAAAAATATTGAGCTCTGCCGCATCCTTTATAAGGTTAAGGAATATTTACCTTTGATTTTAATTCGGAATATTTTCCATTTCGAAACATGTATGTACGAGGTGCGTTCAAAAAGTATCGCGAATTTTGTGTTTTTTCAAAAATTATTTATTTATTCATAAATACTTTTTTTGTCCCCTTCAAAGTAATCCTCATGAAATATTATACACTTGTGCTAACGGTTTTTCCAATCTACGAAGCACTTCAAAAATCATTTTTTTATCTTCTTCAGCTCCTCCTTCGATGCCGTCTTTATCTCGTGAAGAGAAGCATAACGTCGTCCTTTCATGGCGCTCTTCAGTTTAGGGAACAAGAAAAAGTCACAGGGGGCCAGATCTGAGGAATACGGTGGCTGCGGCATCATTAGTGTGTTGTTTTAGGCCAAAAGGTCGCGCACAAGCAACGATGTGTGAGCAGGGGCGTTATCGTGGTGCAAAAGCAATTTTTGTCACATCTTCTTGGCCTTCTGAGAACATTTTGTACCACCGATAAACGTTGATTCGGTCCAAGGTAGGTTCTCCGTATGCCACAGTCAAAATTCATTCAGGAATGCATCCGAGCACTTAATTTAGTTTTTCACACAAAATTTGATACAGGTTCTTCCATCCATTTTTTTGAATAGGTAAAAATCGAATCCGCGAAAATTCAAAAGTCGCGATACTTTTTGAACACAGCTCGTATACGGAAGTGGCTAATGTAAAGGATTACACATAATAAGCAGAGTTGGCTATCAGCAGTTATTTTGAGAAACATGGTTGTCACTAATACTAAAAAACTATCAAAGCTTTCAATTAACTTAGTAATCGGAATCGCCGTTGCACATTTACCAATTCACAAACCTCAACTTCCACGTTTTTTTTTCCGAAGAAAATATACATATTTGTAAAACTTATTGAGAGTCGAAAAAACAGAGTGATGATGTTCGTATACCACAATACTTTTCAACAACAGTTCAATAAGTCAAGAGTCTTTCGCATATTCGATAAGTGTTTTTCCTCACCGCCCACTATTACAAGAAAAATTTTTTGTTGCGTAGTACTTTCTCATAAACAGCTACTAGTTTTCATAGGGCTCTATTGGACCGAATTATTGGTACGTTTCGGTGCTCTTCTTCCACTATAAACTGTACCGCCACATAACCCAATACAAATAGTTGGTCGAAACCATATTCTCCAGATTTGGTCTCATGGTATCATTTTTCTCATGGTACTTCTACAATTCGAAGATTATCACCTTCACAGAAAGAAATTTAGAGGCATATTTTACCTTCACTAAGCTCTATTTTAAAAACCAAGAGAAAAAATATTTTACGGATAGGTTAAAGGATTTGAAACATCGTCATCAATTGTATCGAGCTAAGAAGATTATTTTGTTATATTTTTAGATATTGAATAACGATTGTTTTTATAATAAAATTGAACAATTTGTAAACGTTGTAGCTGGCCGCATTGGATGAAACACAAATGATTGAAGAGGAGAAGACCTCACCGATATTTTAATTTTACACAAAACGTCTATTCATAAAAGTTGTAATTATTTTTTTCTCAAAAATATTCACTTTAACGAGTTTGTTCTAGTACAAACTTAAATAAGCAACCAAAACTCATTCATTTCGAAATAAACTTTTACGTTACGCAACCAATAACATTGA